GTCAATTTGAATTTTCTTTACAACGCAATCATACAAAATGCAAAATATTTAGTGCACGAATATATATTGAGATAAGTTCTAGATAATATGGAAAACTTCAACTTCTGTTGGTTGAAATTGGTAGGTTCCTGCCAGGATGCTGCTTGTGTCGCTGACACCAGATGGAGCTTGGTAGTAGGAATTAAAAGATGTGTATGAACCGGTATTGGAACCCGCATCATTAGATATGTGTATATCATGACCTCCTCCAAATGATGGTCCATAACTATTTTCTGCGTAAATTGCGTACGGAGTATTTTGATTTTTCAGTGGGGCTTTAAAAGGCGGGAGATTTTCTTTGTTCCGAAGAGAGAATATGAAGGATCCTGCAGCTTGTTTCCACTGCGAACTACCTGTTATAACGTAAAAATAATGGTTTGACATATATTTAATCAGGCTGATTTATATTCATTGTCGCCACAGCAGTGTTGCAGCCGCGGACGAATTTGAAAAATTTCAAGTGTTCATGTATGCATGTTTATCAATTGCACCTACTGAAATTCATAATCTGCACAATTTCTGCGGCGTGAATGACACTAGATAAACACATTGGACAATCTAATCCAAACATTTGTTTAATCTTCGTACTTTGTGTCGATTAGCACTAGGAGTTCAAGCGTCTTGCAGCACAATATTGGTCAATATTGAACGTTGAAATGTAAATTGTAAACATTGCAATCTCAATTAAGCTTGGTTCAGTGAGTTTATTATTGTTTAAATTAATACTTCAGACCTTCCCGCGTGACTGGAAGGCAGTGACAAAGGCCTAGCGAAATTCGTCCACGTTCGCGCGGCTTTTCAGGTCCTAAATTAAAATAATTTGTTAAAATGTCTTAAACATCACATGCAGCTTAAATTGTTAGTCAAGAATTATATTTCATGTAAATTACGAAGAATCCCAAATACTGTACATTTTTAATACCTGTAAGTTTAAGATAGGTTAATTCCAGAATATTTTTAACACAAATGTATAACAGTATAAGATTACAATTTTTGGAGAATATCACTTTCACACCGCAGGAGGTATTTTACCATTCATTTCACAGAAAAGCTAATTAGGAAGCCGAATTTTACATAATCATAGTCAAAATTAGCTTACAGTTTCAACATGGTCAAAATTGAATACCAAGTCAGCAGTTAAGCTGTTTGTAATTCTCAGCAAGTGCACTCATTTTAAACCAAACATTACACAATGTCGCTTTATTTAAAAATCTGCCAGAATTCTCTAAAAATCCGCGATTTTGACATTTAATATCTAGGAAGTTGTGTTTAAATTAATAAATCTCCACCAGGGCGCCAAAAATACGACTAAAAAAGCAGCCGAAAACTTTGAGTTCTTCATGCATTGATTTTAAGGTAAATTAATTTTAACAGAAAGCTATTAACAGGGAACAGCCGATATATTTGTCATTAATTCATCATTAACCTAGCGATCGAATTCATGGCTTAGGAATCCCGCGTGGCAGGTTAGCCTAGACCCAGGCCTTCCCGCGCGACTGGATTGGCAGTGAAAAAGGACTAGCGAAATTCGTCCACTTTGTCCGTGGCCTTTCCGGTCCTAAATTCATAAAGTAACCTTATACCTGAACTGCAAGTAAAACTCGGCAACCCGAGAAACAATTATTAATACTCGTCAACTTGATTGCAATGCAAATATTTAAATAACTTATCAGGTCACAATTAATTGAAGAACAATCCTAGGTAAGAGTCTTAAGCGACGAATACACTAATATTGCCAACAGCAAAATGTAATCGTCTTTTAATTTACTACAAGCGTGCATATCGGCATAAAAGGGAGACATGAAAATCGCGTTTGGCGAAATGCTACGAACAAATACAAGCGTTAAAAAGGATACATTAAAGCACAAACAATTTCGTTGTGTATTTCATGGTAATTAGATGTTGGGGCTTTGTGGTTGCGAATTTTAACCTTCAGATAACCAAGTTGATTGAATCAGCTGTATATGGTCGTTATTATTATTAAACCATGAACTATGCGGCGACACCATGCAGAACAGCCAGAATATCAAACTCATGATTGTTCTGGATTTTCATCATAAATTGGTGGTTTAATGCAATCAATATCTTGCTATATAAAAGACAAAGGTACAACAGCCATTTTAATTAAAGGGAAACACCTTCCAAATACAATTTGCCAGAGGAATACATGCATCTCATTGGCAGGTGACGTCATCCCTTGGGTAGTTAAGAAGCCACGATTGCAACTTTATAAATCACCCCTGATGAAGACACTAGACTGGAGTGTCGAAGCGTTGGATCTTGATTACAATTCGACTGGGCTTTGTAAACCAGAGTATAGCGTGCGCGGAAAACCTGATTGATATACCTGCATTGTTGTAGTGAACGAACAAACTTTAAATAAATAAATAGCTGCTAATTATTTTATAAGTTTCTCCAAATGAATTTTAATGGCCATCAGTATTTCGTATAAACAAGCACTCGTTAATTTTTCAAAGACTTCAATTAGTTACACTCATCCTTGGGACAGCCTCGTCCCAAGGCTCCAGTACGTGTTTTTCCCGCGCCGGTGACAAGGCTGTCCTTGTCCACTCTTTATTCTTTGTACAGGGGGGTATTGAGGAGGAACTGGGGGTGGGCCTTTAAATTTTTTAAAACCTGAAAAGCGGGCTTTGAAAAAATACAGACAGACGAAAGAACGGGGGGGGGGGACTTTGAAAAGATTTACTAGTTAGTCAAAAAACAGTGCTTTTAAAAATGTATCACAAAACAACTTAACAACAAATGACAATGTTTATAGACCTTTAATATTAATATTCATAAATGGAAGCCAAATAAATACTCACTTATGTTCATGTAAATTGGTCCCCATTATTTATGTTTGTTTCTCTAAATAAAGAACTAGAGTCAGGGGGCGTGTCCAAAATTTATGTTCTTGTTTTGCCTGTTGGAGGGGGCTTTGAAAATTCTTGTCTTAATGGGCGGGCACCGAAAAAATATAACTGTAGAGTTTCTCCTCAGTCCCCCCTGTGCAAGAAATAATGAGCGGTCCCTTGTTACCAAACAAATTTTATTAATCTCAGTGTCATGTCTTAATTAAAATATACAAACTTGCATATTCCTCTGGGACAAGCGGTATAAGAATGATCAAGATCAAGAGCTTTGGGAAATAATTACAGTGGTAATAATTTGCAGTAATAAATTTACGTGGTGTTTCCACAAACAAAAATCTTGTATGTTTTATCGCCATGCAAACCTACAAAGAACTAATTACAGTGGTGGTTTTACAAAACAAATCAAACCAAACCAATGATATTCATTTCCACCATGGATAATAAAATAAATGGATAGGACTCTCGCTGACGTAAGCAAAAACAACCTAGTTGCAATCTGTGACGTCACGCGTATTGCAAAGTTCTCTGCATTTTTGTTGTTTCGCTATATTTTCCGCCTTAAAAGAGCAATATTGAAGCACAAACCGGTCTAATTGTTTTAAAAACATGCCTAAGCCACGACAAAGTATTCAAGGTAAATGTTTTTCGTCTTTGTTTTGTATTTTTTTACATTTGTAGCTACGAAATTGGCGTCCCCAATTTTAACGAAATTTGGGATGCCTTTTTCACTGTTTAGTGCTTGAAATATTTGCTAAAATTGACTGGGAATACTTAGAGATTTCATCGTAGAATGGCGTAGTTATATTCATTTGCTCTTTGACTAAAATGTTTAGCTGTATTATTGCTAAACATGCCGTTTTTGAGAATTTGGTTTGCAACTAGGTTTCAACATCCAATCACGCCATCAGCCCATTGAAAACATTAGGTCACGTCAGCTAGTTTCCTATCCATTTATTTTATTATCCATGTTTCCACCATGCGCACATGGTACAAATGTTTAACAGTCAATACGTTAAAATAATTAAAGGACGCTGAACTTTGCAACAAATCAACTTTATTACTTAATTTAACAAAGACAAGATTTTACACCACTGGTTAAACTAGATTTAACCCCAATCTCAGAAATCGTAATTGTTTGACCAGCTGCACTATATCTATGACTGTGCTGTTTTAGATTGAATATGTGAAATCAATATCTGAAAGCTAGACTTTCAGTGAATTGTGTCTAACCATGCATAATATTAATAAGTCAATTTATAAGTAATTAACAACTGAATAATTAGAAGCATTAAGATTATATTAAACAAGGGAAAAGATTAATAAGAAACATATATGAAAACTACAAAAAATCTTTTATGGAAAATTTAAAAAAAAATCAACGTAAAGTACTTGTAACAATAGCTTGTAATAATCAAACGACACGCAAGTCAACCCACGTTTTAACTGCTGCATATGAGGTGTAAGTATTTATGTTGAGCTGTATGTTAGCCAAATAAATCACATTATCAATCGTTTTCGCATGACTTTGTATTTGTCTAACTTTGTGTAATGTCACTCCATCTTTTCCATATCCCTCGCAGTTTAAAACACACATGGATGACTTGCATGTCGTTTCATCACTGATTTATGATTGAATTGTAGAGAAAATTCAAAATGACTATTGTAAAATACTTTGTCCAAACTATCTTGGCTTGTTTCTTTCTTGAGATATTCAAGAATGATCGACTTGCATAAAGATTTTGTGAAATTTAAATTATAACTCTTAGAGATAACTGATTCGAATCTGTCGTCATATACTATATATTTGTGGCATGTTGACCTAACACATATGCACGGTTTTACGATTTAGATGAACGATATAGCAAGATCTTGCAGTTTCCGGGGGAAGTCGTTACGCAATGTGACGTAATAATGAGGATAATTAGCATAGTACCATAGATGGGTTAGCCGGTTTTCCACTACAGTGGAACCCCGCCTTACGGCTACCCCGTTAATACGGTCACCTCGATAATACGGTCGCTTTTTTTGTCCCGGCGAAACACTAATACATTTTATAATAAAGTTATTCGGTTAATACGGCCACCCCGTTAATACGGCCAACGGCCATATTGTAGAGTCCCAAACTAAAGAAATCACCCCGTTAATAAGGTCACTCAAAAAAATAAATGTGTTTACGGACGGAAATGCAGTATAATTTAAGACACCTTGTGCTGTGAAACACACAATTTAAGTTGCATCATATTACTAATTTTTTTATTTTTATTATCAGTCGCGCAAAGGAAATAATAAGAATACAAGGTTCTTTAGCGACGTTGTATTCCCTAACATTGTTTCCTTAAAATTAGTGACAACTTTATCTGAACTTTATAATGTTTAGTTATTAATTGGTATTATGGTGGGGTATGGTGTTATTGTGATTTTCGAATAAACATAGCTTTAAGACGTCACAATTGAAATTTGATCTCACCCCGTTAATACGGCCATATTATTTCGGCCCGTTGGTGACCGTATTAACGGGGTTCCACTGTATTAAGAAAATCAATTTCATGGCACTTTCATGGGGAATAGATTTTCTGTGATTCAATGCATAGTACCACGAATGCTCAATTACTACAAAAGGTTCCCAAGCGAAAAACCTGCCCAATACCGAGAAAATGAGTGATCAGTGGTTTTTTGTACGTTTTCCGATGATGCATGTCATTTTTATTGTAATTGAATACAAAATTGCCCATTTTTTGCTGTAATATATTTTAATTCAATTAATAGAGGATAATCATTGATCATCTATTTTCTCAGTATTTTTGCTTGGGAGCTTTTTTGGTAGTAATGTACCTATATGCCTTTCAAATAAACCACAAACCAAGTACTTCCCACATGGGTGCCACGAAGCGAAATAATTTTGGCCCACGGCTTATGCGGAATTGTGTGCCAGAGCGGATTTTTTTTTACTTTTCTAATTAATTCCACATGAAAAATCACAAGATATAGAAAATTCCGCCAAGTGGAAAACCGGCATAAGATAGTTTGGGAAAGCGACTTATTCGGTCAATTTGAATTTTCCTTGCAACGCAATCATAAAAATGCAGAATATTTAGTGCACAAATATATATTGAGATACGTTCTAGATAATATGGAACACTTCAACTTCTGTTGGTTGAAATTGGTAGGTTCCTGCCAGGATGCTGCTTGTGTCGCTGACACCAGATGGAGCTTGGTAGTAGAAATTAAAATCTGTGTATGAACCGGTATTCGAAGCAGCATCATTAGATATGTGCATATCATGACCTCCTCCAAATGATGGCCCATATCTATTTTCTGCGTCAATTGCCCACCTAGTATTTTGATCTATCAGTGGGGCTTTAAAAGGCGGGAGATTTTCCTTGTTACGAAGAGAAAATATGAAGGATCCTGGAGCTTGTTTGGACTGCAAACTACCTGTTATAACGTAAAAATAATGTTTTGACATATTTAATCAGACTAATTTATATTGAGTGTCGCTGCAGCAGTGTTGCAGCCGCGGACGAAATTGAAAAATTAGAGAATTATTTTAATTAGAAAAATTAGAGAAGATTAAAGAATATATATATATATATATATATATATATATATATATATATATATATATATATATATATATATATATATATATAGAGCGAAGATAAGAACATAAACAAAATAGAAAAATATTGAAAATATCCAAAAAGCAAAGTCTGGGAATTCAGACCCTGTGTATACAATAAAACAGTTATTCCATTCACTCTCGTCGAATATGAGCGATAGCCGATTCGTGAGATTCGAGAGCCGATTCGCGCCTCATGATATCAAAACATATTTTGATAACTAAGAAGTTTATAAAAAGAAAGTTTAGTTATATTCAATCATGTAGTTTCTTTTCACGTACTCTACGTGCTTGCATTCAATCAGGGATGGATTTACCGGGGGGGAGCGCCCCCCCCCCTAGCCGGCCTGGCCAGAGGGGGTGCAGGGTGTGTGTGCTATTTTTCATGATAAAACAAAAAATTATTAGAGGCAAAATGAGATACAGTAACATGATGATGAGCGAACTGCGAACATGATGATAAGCGAACTGCGAACAACAGTTACAATTCAAATAAGGCAAGACTCTTCAGTGAGTGAAGCAAGTTGATGGGCGGGCGGTACACATGACCGACACTCGGCACCAGAGTTGGTAGAGCACCCCCCCCCCTCCCCTACCTGATCATGCTGGATCCATCCTTGCATACAACCCTATCTTTCAATAAACTGAATTTCAAGACAATACTTTCACTCATGATCAGTATAATCCTTACACCTAAAGCTAATGGGTTGGAAAGAAATGACGGAAAGCCGAAGTAATATTATTATTTAGTATAAACCTACTAGTAGGCTATCACATATCGTTGCTTCTGATTGGCTACGCTACTAGTAGGCTATTAGTGATAGCCTACTAATAGAAAATTCAAAATGACGGAAAATTCGCGTTTTGCACTTTTGCCGAAGTGTCTGATGATTTTTTGGACGTACAATTCTATACGATTCTGTACAGATGATTTTTTCCGTACAATTCTGTACAGATTTGTGTATTTTTGTATTGTGTTTGCAGCCTAGTTGTAAATTAATGTTAAAGTTTATACTAAAACAATTAGACAACTCGGCCTCGTTGTCTATGAGCAAATAGTCAACTCGGCTTCGCCTCGTTGACTATTCGCTCATAGACAACTCGGCCTCGTTGTCTAATTGTTAAATAGTCTTACCTTCCCAAGACTCTGTAGCATACCCGCCGAAAATATAACTGCCAACTTTAACCAGGGTAACTGTTGGTTTCTTGTTATCACAGTTGCTGTGGAATGTACTGCTAGCCCAGCCATCTCTTGTCGCGCGCCAACACAGGCTCGAATAAGTAAAACCCCCGATCCATGATTTTAATAATTGATCATAATAAAGTTTTTCAGATAATATGACTGATTCAGAAAACCTCGGATCTATTTAAGAATTAAATTATTAGGTGAGTAGGAAATATTTAGTCATATTATTCTGCAAGTGCACATGGATAGAAATAGAGAATCTACGTCAAAGTTAAAAGTAAAACGTGATTATAAAGTATATATTTCGCCTAATTATTAAAATGTTTAATGAATTATATGATTTTAAAATTTCCAGTCTCACATTAATTCTTTCCTGTACAATGAGATCTGCAGGGTATATATATAATTTTAATGCTCTACTATCTTTATAAATTTAAATAATTTTTATTTTGCATAAACTCCGTATACTAGACTACTATATAAATCTCTGAATATATGATTACGTTTATAACCATGCAGCTCTGACATAACATGACAACTACCTTCTCCACAGGCTTTTTGTTATTAACCAACTCCGTGCGGGCGCGATAATTTGGGGGCTGATTTGCAGGCGTTTTAAGAAAGGCGGGGAAACGCCCACAGAAAATTTTCGAGTCTCGAGAATAAGTGTCGGTACTCGGGTTTGCCCAGAAAATCTTTCCGAAAATGATCCATTAATTGTGAAATAAAAATATGTGTTTTTGTTGGCAGACAGCGGCGACGAAGAACATTTAAAAAGCGAAGATAAAATCGACGGCGGTGATGTGCTTCCGCCACTTTGAAAAGATTATTCAGCAGGCGTTCCCCGCATTTCTCAAAACGCCTACGGAGAAGGTAGACATGACAGTTTCAATTACATTTGTCTAATGAAAGTAAGGGGGAATTGATAATTTGGCTGAAGGGGAGGCGTACGACTATGGTGATTTTTTTTGTAAGTCCCCGCCCGACATATTTTTGATATTTTTTCACCCCCTCCCCCCCTGCCATGTTATATAATATATAGTAGAAAAACAAGGATTAATTGTTATTGACCACCATTATTCATGGATGCACATTGAAAAGTTTTGGTAATCCTTCCGAAAATCCCAGTCAAATTTGTGGGCGATTGAGTTGCAAATTAAAGTGAAGATTTCATTTCAGAAATGAAAAAAAAAATACAAACCTTTAGCCAGGCTCACTAAATTGTTCAAAGTATCATTCATGTTTTCGATAACTTTCTTGATTCCTGAAATGTTGTCTTCTAATCTTGTTTTGTTTGCTTTGAGTTTGGTTATGTCGCTTTTCAATTCTGTATTTTCGTTTTCTAGCTGAGTGACGTTGATTTTTAATCCAGTTTTGAGTTGACTAACTTCACTTTTTAATTCCATTTTGAGCTGAACGATATCGCTTTTAAATACCTTGCTTAGCTTTTAAAATAAATAGTGAAAATAATTAACATGCATGCAGTATATATTTATATATTATATGTATATTATTTACAACAGTGAGCGCATTGTATCGGATATACAAACGCGAGCCGAAGGTGAGAGTTCGTATATTCGATACACAGAACGCGAATTCTACAACAATTTGAAATAAATGATATTTGGTGAGAAAGTTAAACTTAAATTTTATGTAAATTAGTATGATTTTGTATCAGATATACAAATAACCTGCGATCAGGTTAATATACAAACTCCTTCACTGCACTCATGATTTCTTTTGTGTTTTCTTCATGAGTTTATTATATTAACAAGTTTCACAAATACACATACATATACGACGGGCATGCGCGACAAACGGACAAAATTCTGTAAGAGATTCCCATGTGTTCACTTGAACAAAACAATCAACTTACCGTTCGATTTTGTTTCTGCAACTTTTCTTCAATACTTTTTAATTTAGGAACAATTGCTGATGTCTTTTCAAGAATCTATGAATGTTGGCATAAAATCATCGAATTATTTTGTAAAGAAACAAATTTTGTCCGGATAAAAATGGCTTTGCTTGTTAATGATTGACATTGTACCACCGACGCATTTTGCAATCACGTGATCAACAAAGGAAAATTTCGAATTCACACGCAAGTCCCTTCTACAAACGCAAAATCTCTCATCTTGTAACAAGTTTGTCAACAAACCGTCAACAAGTTGTCTTCGCACTGCTTGTCACAAGTTGTTAACAAGTGTGGAACAAGCTGTTAATAATTTATAACAACCTTGTGTATATTAGGCTTGTTACAAGGTTGTTCCAACAAGTCCGATACAGTCATGACATAGCAGTATTGTTACAACCTTATGTTGTCAACCTTGTAACATTCTTGTTATATCATGACTGTATCAGACTTGCTAGAACAACCTTGTAACAAATCTGATAATGCCATCAAGCTTGTTACAAGTTGTTAACAGCTTGTTCCAAACTTGTTACAACAACTGGGAACAAGCAGTGCGAAAACAACATGTCGACAGCTTGTGAACAGATTTGTAACAACTTGTTTGCAGAATTTGAACAACTTGTGCGTTTTTACGTGCGTATTACAGTATATTTCTGATGTTCTTCTCATATAGGTATTCGAGGAAGAAAGATTGCGATTATACAAAGTTTGTTTTAAGTGAAAGTTTGATACGTAATATTTACCGCCATTCATTTATTTGTATATCATGTCCAAATACCTTTTTTTTCGGTGCGATGATTTTCCATGTTTTATTTGCTCTCAAATAAAGTTCCTTGGTGTCCTTGCGATATTCCAACAATCCAGGAATTTCTGGCAATTTCTTTTCTGTCTCCGCATCTGGAACCACGACAATCTGAAAAGAAGAGAACCTTTCTTTGAGATTCATTTCAACTTGATTATCAAAAAGTTCCCAAATAAATCCCAAAATGAAACAAAGTCATTGTTTCTTCCCTGACCGCATAGAGTACGCTAAAACATATTGAGGTTTATTGCTTTGCTTTCACTATAAATAAGTGAATATTAAGTTTGTAATTATACGTTTATACAGGCTCAGTGTTGTAAAAGTGACATTTTGCAACTAGTTACTAATTAGGAAATTTTGTAATACAAAATAGCTGCGCAGCTATAGCTATAATCGATAATTATGTCAAATGTAGCTATATATTCCACGACCCAATGTTTATGAATTTATCGACTTCTAGCACTGCAGCGACAAATAAAAAATATTCCAACACGTTGCTACAAAGAAGTATAGTTGCCGTTACTTCATGGTAACTATAACTAGTTACTTGTATAACGAAGTTACTCATGGACAATATTATCGGAAATATATGCAAATTAAGTTCATAATTATAAACATACTTACACCCTCATTCAATAAAGCTTCATTCCTGGGACAATTGCCCTAGACACATAAATATGGTGTAAAATTTAAATCCAATGATTCTAATTATTTGAACGTGTTATTTTTAGTAATGTTTAAAGTACGTCGTGTGTTATTACCTCCGCCAGGAGGTTATGTAATCATCTGGGTTTTTATGTGTATGTGTGTGTGTGTGTTTGTCTGTGAGCACGATAACTCAAGAAATACCAAACATATTCATACGAAATTTTTTGAATGCATTTCCCATCGGCTAAGGAAGAATTGATTAAAATTTGGTTGAATTTGGTCAAAAATTGAACGAGAAATGAACAAAATTTTGTCTTGCTTTTCCCGGTCAATTACAAAAAACTCACTGAATGCGTAATTAGGACGTGTATAATGTATACACGCAGTACTATAGACAATAATGAGATGATAAACCTCATTAAGCTTCAGCCTTCATTATCTATTGTCTTAGTTGCATTTCACACGACCGAAATTCAATGGGGGCGGAGGTATGCAGTCTCTGAGTGCCCTCTAGTTTAACTTGTATTCTAAAACTTTAATAAAATTCTATAGTTGTCACAAAATTCTAAAGTTGCGGTAGTACTCTCGCATAATCGTCACGCTTGGCAAAACTTTTGGACACAATTTCTGAAATATTTCATTTGCTAGACAAAGAGTTGGTCATGGGAATAATAAAACAATCAATTAAAACAATTAGTCCTTGTGGTCTCGTCGTCGTTAGGGAAGCCTCACATATCGATTTTGTCCATATGAAACGTCATATGTTCGTTTCTCTGGAGACCCCCTACCCCCCTCTTAGAAACGTCACATGCACATAGTTATAGATATTTTGTTCAATATGGCAAGGCAATTTTCTACGGTAGGCTATTGGCGATGCTTCCGCGAGAAATATGTCATCTTCTGCTGACATATCTTTTTTTTATTAATATATATGAACTTCAAATTTTCCAACGTTTCTCAAAACAACTTTTTTTGCATGAAATATTGATCATTGTATCGCGTTTTTCTTGAAATTTGAGTGTTTTCAATGCAAGGAATGCGTATAATAATATAAAGGTATACATAAAGAGCAGGTGTGGTAATACGAATGTATAGACTAGTGTTTGTATCAGATAGCTGCCATTTCAGTCTTTTTTGTACTCTGCAAAGATGATTCCGAAATGTTAAGGCTTTCAAAAAACTATCGAATTTTTCCATGATGTTTACAGAGAAACGTCACAAGTGCAATCTCCCCCTCCCCCCACCCCCAAACGAACATATGACGTTTCTCGTGGAAAAAATCGATATGTGAGGCTTTCCTTACTCCTTGTGGTGTTGTCCTTACGACGCTTGCCTTTCACAAGCTGGGTGATCTGTATTTAATCCTTGTAGTCGGACCAAGGTTTAAGATCATAAACTAGAACTAGAAAATACGTGAATGCAGAACCCTCGCCTTGCTGACAAAACCATTGTATTTTCCAAACATGCATGCAATCTAAAATAGTTGTCATGGTAACACGATAATTTTTTTAAAATATTCTTACAAATGAAAAATCGCCTAAAAATATCACTTTTAATTACAAAATTATCAATTTCCCAACATATATATATTAGGTATGTTATTATACGTAATATAAGCCTCAACTGAAGGTAAAATTCAACCACAAACGCCTCGCCAAACGTTTTAAAGTGTTCTTTATAAAACCATGGATAATAAAATAAATTTATTTTATTATTCATGACAAAACTAAACTGCCTTTAATTAAATGGCTTTATCGATAAACTTTGAGTTTGCAATAAAATGATTTCAAATTCTTACTTGCAAATAACTTTGCTTTCTTTTTGTATTTAAAGAATTCAATATAATAAAAAAAGGGAATCAATATTTATAAAGATACACTGAAATTATATGCTGTCTTGTTTTAATAGTTGTTTCATATACGCAAAGGCCGTCGGGTTTTATTAAATTCATTATAATTTATAAAATCAATATTTAAAACAAATTTACCTTCGTTAACGTCGGCTCCCTTCTTTTATCCGATTCTTTCGCCCTTTTTTTCTTGAAATTTACAAAATCTTGCAAAAATGCGAGCAAAAATGAAATATATTTGCGTGAAATTTATCAATCATCGAATCAAGAAATGTTTGCTATTTCGCTGTCGTCATGCAGTCGTTAAAATGCAAATTTAAACTAGACCAATCAGTGTCCGCTATTCATGACAGTCCGCCATATTTTTTAGATCAGTGAGGATGACCACCCACGTTGGTCACCCACGCCCGCGATAATTGATGTACTTTAGACTTACCTAATGCTTTCGTTTCCCTGGGTGTAAATAGCCGGGGGAATTAGTACCCTCGCACGTCGGCTCGAGCCAACCAGGCGTAAGCCCGGGCGAGGGTACTAATTCCCCCTGGCTATTTACACCCGGGGAAAGGAACGCACTAGCGAAGTCTAAAGTTTATCAATTATCGCGGGCGCGGTTTATGGGTGTATGGGTGGTCATCTCACTGATCTCAAAATATGGCTGTTTGCCAGGAGTGAAGAAGGGAAAAATATAAAAATTACATGTAACAAAGCTTGGAAAATTATTTCACATAACAAATTATCAAATTTTTTTCAATTTTTAAATGTAAAAATTTATAAGAATTGATTTAGTATGAGAAATCCTGAAGTATAGCCTATAGGGCAAGTGTGTTTCAATTGTTTATGTATGACTTTGTATATATATATTCAGGAGCAAAATACAAAGAAAAATCATAAGCGTGTCGTGGTTTTACATGTGATAAAAAATCATGTTAATTTACATAAACTTTAGCTTTGATTTTCTCGGTTTAGACAAAGTTTATTTTAAAAATTACGTCGCCAATGAACTCGTATAAGATAAGTCGTTTTTTGAGCCATTTAAAGCACTTGTAGTCGTGTTTTATCACATATAAAACACTCCGCTACGCATCGTGTTTTATATGTGATAAAACACTCCTATACGCGTGCTTTAAATAGTACATATATATATATATATATATATATATATATATATATATATATATATATATATATATATATATATATATATATATATATATATATATATATTTAGTCAAAAAGTCATACATAAACAATTGAAACACACTTGCCCTACAGGCTATACTTTAGAATTTCTCATACTAAATCAATTCTTATAAATTTTTACGTTTAAAAATTGAAAAAAGTTTGATAATTTGTTATGTGAAATGATTTTCCAAGCTTTGTTACATGTAATTTTTATATTTTCCCCTTCTTCACTCCTGGCAAACAGCCATATTTTGAGATCAGTGAGATGCGAGCCTGCGTCCAATATTGGCGTAATTACGAATATACTTCATGTTGAAACAATGTTTGGAGAATATAGGCGAGGGGTTGTTGCATGCATGTATTTCTAGTATAAGTAGTATAAAGGCTATGGTCAAAAATTAAAAGGATGAAATTAAAAAGCATGTCTTCCACATTTTTAACCATTTGTATATACTGAGTGCTTATAACTATGTTACCTTTTCAGGTGTGGTATTTCCATCGAATAATCGGTACGAGACCATGTCGCCATTTTCGTTCGTCACTTTGTATTCCATGCATTTGTTCCAAACGCGTTTCGGAGTGGAAGTTCTCACCCAGAACCATGTGTAAGTGTTCTTTTTAACAGTTCCACCATTTTTGGCTGTGCAGTCAGGGCTGCAGTAGTCATCCGTACCACCAACAGGGCCAAAACATCCGCAACATTTCTTGATAAAACGAAAATAGTTACAAATACATGTATGTGAGTAACGCATGGGACTTAGAGGTATACTTCTAGAGTAAGAACTTCAGTTATCTGTCCAACTGGAAAAGTAAAGCCAAAGAAATCGGAAATTGAAGAGACTATTGGACGTGACTTTGTTCTATTTAAGCTTATGCTTGAACTTCTATACTGATATATAAGGATAAACTCTTTGTGACGTTCCCAAACATATTGTTACCTGATTCGGTGAACAGCCTACAAATGCTGTGGCATCATGCGTCAATCCTGAATGATTACCAGAGACGCTAAAACTATTAAATAAGCAAAAACTAATTTACGTTAATATGCAGGGGCTTTCTTGATTGATCGAGGCAGTATCGTGCAGTATCAAATTCACAAAGAGAAAGGCGCTACCGCGACGACGACGGTCGACGGGAAACAAACTCGTTGAATAAAATGATTGCATAAATATAGCTAATACAGTTTAAAGATCAAGGGTTAACACAGGGTTTTTGTTTGAGAAGGGTTCTAGGACCCAATTGAAGGAGGACTTTTATCATTTTGAAATGTAAGCGTTGTATACGAGACGTGATAATCTGTATTTCGCTGTTGTAAACACTGAAAGCAACGGCGACGTCTAAAACTCCCGTGGGATCTTACTTGCTAATTTCTGTTCGTTTCCTTGTATTAGTATATCATACTAATAGCTGCTCACGTTGCACTTTCGTTCTGCTTATTGAATTAGTTCTTAATAACAGCATGAATTGTAAAATAACTAAAGTAGATAATAATAAATTGTCATGATAACAGTCGTTCTTTATAATTATAAAATTGTAAAATTTAAGGCTGTTTCTTGTCATGTCTCCATACTAGATCAATAGAGAGGTTTAGCAAAGACAACGCGACGTCAAAAATGACGTGAAAATGGCGTAAAAATGGCGTGGGCACATCCATAGATAGGCATATCACAACATTTTTACGCCATTTTCACGTCCTCTTTGACGTCGCGTCGTCTTTGCTAAACTCCTCTCTAATTAGCCTTGCTCAAGTTCGCTATTATAATACAGAATGGAAACCAATTTCTACAACAGCTATATGGGAAAGTGTTTTCAATTATACGAACGTTGCCTAAAAAAAGTTCAAAATTTTTAACGTTTTATTAGTTCGCTTCCAATTAAATACATTACCTGAACGATCCGTAAAAATCCACCTGCACGTCTCCCTGTGGGTGATCCCAAAATGCGTATCCACTTGCGCATGGTTTATTTAAGCAAGAGTTCATCTTGTGCTGAAACAGTAAATAGCAGGCCTATGAGGTACTGGAGTTGTTGTTTGATTTCTAAATTTTGTTAGTACCTTCAGAGGTTACATTCACCCTAATCGCAACAAGAAGAGATAGAACGGTTTGTTTTCAAAATCTTCAAATTGAAAACATTTAGTATTGTAACAATCCTAAACCTTACCCTGAATTATAGTAATCTAACCTCAACCCTAACACCATCAATACGTTATGAACTATCTTGTAAGCTCCCGCTATAGTTAAATATTTTCACACATTACTCACTGTATAACTGATACAGCCTTGAGTATAAACATGGCCATGGCAATGCACCTTCCATGTTGAGTGAGAAGATAATAGTGAGCTTAAGCAAGTGACGTTTTTGACAACACGAACGGCATGAGTAACGTCAGAAGACTGGGTCAAGGGTTGTGATTGGTGAAAAACGTCAATTTTTCTTCCGCTCGACGTCCGTGTTGTCAAAAACGTCACTTGCTTAAGCTCATGCACTAATGTTAAATCTTTTACTTTGCCAATTTGGAAAGAGCATGAATGAATGAATGAAAAAAAAATATTCATGCTGAAAAACGATAGCCCCATCTGCAAAAGCTTGTTTCATATGAGGGGAGGGGGGCGTCCAGGCTATATATGTATAATAAAACATTGCTGCACCTGAGCGGTTTTTTCAATATTTCTGAAATTGGCCATTATCTGTTGCCCCTTAACGATTACTGCATGAAATCAACATTTCGTTTTTGTTTTATTTGCTAAGTATGCAAGAAAGTCCATAGAAATGCGTTCAGTGCATGTGGATGTTCTTTTGTAACCCACCCGCCCAATTTTTAAAAACGCCTTTAAGGAATACAACCAGCACATGCATGGTGGTGTCGCGTGGTCATCACGCTTGCCTTCGATCCTTGGTCGGACACTTACTCAAGGAAAATATGAATCAAGCTAACTCGTGAATAAAATGGAATGAGCATGTCTCGTTTCTTTCGTTACAAGCAAATTTTTACTCACCCAACCAAATCCTGTTAATGAATGTTGAAATCCTGCAAAAATAGAGCAACGATATCCTGTAGTTACAATTTTTTCTGTCTGTATATCTTTCACGTAGGCTATGTTTCCAATCCCTGGCTTCAACATATCGCATCCTTGGTCGTCTACCATCAGTTTCTTTAAAGGACGTTTAGATTGCAATCTGAATGACCTGGAAAATGGAAGTGAAGGTATTAAACTTAAATTTTGCATAGTAGTAGTTTTACGTTCCTTGAAAACTGCATATATATGAGATATGTCTAATCGTTGATATTGATTTAAAAAGTAAATTTCGATAGAAAACCCGTTTCTATATCAGATATTTTTTACCAGTGAGCTTTTGTCTGTTGAAAATCTTCTGCTGTCGCTATCTGTACTCTGAAGTCAAGGATGGGAGCGTCACCAAGGTTACTAGCCCAGTGTGGGTCACCATACGGCTCAACTGGGAAGTCATTTGATGGTAGTGTCCAGGTTATAGAGTTATTCTTCCTTCCAACTAAGAAATAA